CTAATCATTTCAAACATTTTCCAAAGATGGTGCCAATTTTGAAACTTAAGAACGCACATCAATCTAATTATATCAAGATTCAAGAGGGGTTTTTTTAGGAGAATCCCTCATAAAATATATCCCTTATTCCCTTATAATCGAAACAAATTTGATAAGAGTCTATTTCTAATCTCATATCTAAAAGTTAGAAAGCTAACCAACAACTACAGTCTCCTTATCAGCACTTAAATTCATGTTTCAAAATTAACATTTTAACATTAACCTTATGATTACATCTACTTTAATTTTAACATTTTTCATAATGATTTTCATTGTTTGCTATTCCAAATAAATAAATAAATATAAATATAAATATAAATAAAATAGTACTTCCTTGATAATTCATCTCTTAATTTACGGAGTATAATCAATACAAGTATGTAAAATCTAGCACTAGGCAATTTAAGTATCATGTCTTAATCCCTTGATCTAGAAAAATGGTTTAGGCACACCTATTATGAGAGGTGAACACAATTTTCTATGCTCCTCTTACATGGAAGTATGTCAATATATTACGGAGTGATACTTTCTCTGCTTCTTTTTATAATTCTCATTTAGACTATACATGTTTGCCAATGCAACATTTTGACCATAAATATAATTTGTTACTTGTTAGTAAAAAAATTTAACAATTACGGAATAATAATCTATTATCAAGACGAATCAAATAAGACTAAACATGACTATGTTATGTCTTATACATTAAGAGTAATTTAGAATATTCTCTCATATTATAAATAGTGTCAAAATTTCAAATATGAACTATAAAAAGGGGCGGAGGGAGTAATAGATTTGCCAAAATGAGTTTCCCTTACTGTATGATTCGTCTCTATACTTGGCTCTCCACACTGAAATTGAAAAGACACATGATTATATCAGTATCAGCATTAAATCTCTTAATTTGCATTGTTAGTGTTAACACGAAGTACAATTCAATATAAACTTCACACGTGTTGTTCAAGGACATAATTATAGCCCCTCAACTTTAGTTTGAAAGCAGCCTCACACCAATAAAGATCTTTTTTCAAAGTTTCTACAATTGTAAATTAAAGCATAAATCACAAAGCACTAAGTACTACTTCATTTTGTCACCTTCAAACAATTCTATTGTGGTAAGCTCCTAAACCCGTATCACAAGTGCAAAGACTAGTGCGTTAGTGACAAATCCACCAATCCCCCGCAATTTGTGGTTAATTTGTCCACACACAAGGATCAATTTATGATTATATTGTACAACAGAGTAGACCTGACAAATGGGTCATTCGGGTTAGGTATGGGTCAGGTTAAATTCCAGTCAATATATATTTGGATTTGGTTCGGTCGGATTATTTCGGATCAGCATTTTGGGTTGGCTTTGGGTCGGGTCAAGTGCAGATTGGGTCAATTCGGGTTGGGTCAATTTCGGGTCAACATTTTGGGTCGGCTTTGGGTCAGGTTAAGATCGGATGAGGTCTTTTTGAGTCGATGCTTTGAGTCAATCTTTATTAGTAGATTTATTTTTTTATACAAAATAATGATCGGGTCAATCGGATTCGAATTCGGATCCAGATTCAGATCCACGATCCGAATATTAAACAGATCGGATTTGGATTTAGCCATATTCGACCCGAATCCGATATGTTGTCATTCCTAATTGCAGTTATTTTCTATTTGGGTCTGCTCGGGTCAAGTATTTGGCTGAAATGGTTTGGGTTATTCAGGTATAAGATATTTGAGTTCGGGTCTATTTGGGTCTATTAATTCAAGTTAAATTCAGGTCGGGTCAATTTCGGATCGGGTCAACTTTGGGTTTCCGGTCAAAGTCGAGTCAATTCCACTTCGGGTTGGGTTGATTTCGGGTCAGTTTTGGGTCAATTTCATATCATGGGTCGGGACATTCGGGTTGGGTCATTGCCTCATTGGGTCTAGGTCAGGATTGCCAAGTCTAATACGGAGTAACATATACGTAGTATAAAGATCACTAATATAATTCACAATAGTTAAAACTTAGAGCAAGATTAGCGCAGTCTCATCTTAAGACTTTAATCCATTGCCACATCGGCTTTTTAGATTGAATTTAATTATTTTTCTAATTTATAACTATATTAAGACTCCTTAAAATTTATCTTTTTCAATCGCTCAGACTCATTTTTTTATGTATAAATTAAGTTATTAAAGTTTTTTAAAAATTAAAATTAAAATTAATTGAATGTTAAATTGAGTCTGAAGTTGATTCTTGAATTTTCAAGACTCCATTTTAGATTTTATTAAGACCAAACTTCATAAATGCTTAAAATAATCAAGTCTTGTTTTATGACTGTAAAATTAGAAATTGATGATATCATCTAGAATCTTAACACATAGGACTAATCTTGCTCTTATATGCAAACTAGGTTAGATCCCGTGCCATGCATGGTTATTATCATTATTTATTATTGATTTAATGTTATATTTAATTGATAGAATATAATATAAATTGTCTAAATTTATCATGGACAAAAATGAAGTATTTGACATAATGAAACATGGAATATCATGCTTATTAATTAACATTCTAATGTTTCAACAATATAAGAAAATCTATATTAGCTGAATATAGAAATATAAAGATTAAATTTTATTATATAAATAATTTAAATAAAATGAAATAAATTCCAAAAAAAAAAATAAAAAATAAAACCATCAGGTAGAAGAATTAAAAAAAAAAAAAGGAAAGGCTATGAGTTTTGACAAAAAAAATCTATACTTATCAGTTATCAGTGATCAACTAATCATATATTGTAATGTCTTTTTTTTAGTCATTAACATTTGTCTATCATAATTATATCCTTGAAGTAGATATTATGTTAATTGCCACACAACATCTTATAGTAGAAGATTGTATTATTTTCAAAAAATAATTTACAGAAGATTATATTTTGCGATTATATTGTCCATATAGTTAATTGAATGTCAATGTATAAAAAGAAGGTAAATATCATTGCTATATTTGTGTAGGAAACAAATTTTACAATTAATATCTTTAAATAATTTTTTTATTAAACTAATATATTTTTTAAAAAAAATACTAAGGACACACCAAAAATGACATGTGTCATTGCTGGTGTGTCTTTTAGTATATACGAAGTAGTTACTGATGTAATATGCGCATCATAATTCAAAAGTAAATAACACTTTTATGTTTTCTAAAATGCATTCGTAAAGAACATGCATGTAATATACGAGTAAGGAAAGAACTTGGCAAAAAAACTTATCAGGCGAACATATAAACATTATATTTAAATAAGAAATTTGTACCTTTTTTTTTAACATTATAATTTTACTTGAATTTTGTACTACAATATTTTTTATTTATTTATTTATTTTTGTCAGATTGTACTAAAATAGTTTATGACATGAAAGATGAAACAAAGAGAGTATGAATATTCTAAACTAGTTTGTGAGATCAAAGACGATGGACAAAGGAAGTACGGATATTCATCACTATTGGCATCTAATACTGATCTAGAATGTTTGAGTTACGAGTATCCTAGCTCTTGATTCACTCTATTAAAATTTAAATTAATGGTTAGAGCCCTATGATCGAATCCAATACTGAGCTCAATTCTTTCAAAAAATTATTAATGGTTAGATAAGTATAACGTTTTACCCTATTTTATAAACTACAAATTGTGCACCTCAAATAGAATAAAAGAAAGATGAATGGTCCACTAAATTGAACTGGACTTCCCAACCATAGAGAGTGACACTAGCAATGTTGGACAACATAATGCTCAATAATATTATTATTATTCCAAAAACTTAACTAATGTATACATCAAAGAGAATAATATATAGTGTACTACACTACTACCATAGACCATAGTAGTAGTTGTTAGAATGTTTATCTAAGACCGCCTAATGATGTAACCATGGGTTCTTTTAATTGATTGGACCATTACTATTTTAAAATTACAATTTACTTTATAATTAAATTATATTATCACATTGCTTACTACTAGACGTCAACCTAATATTATAAGAAATAAATTTTTAATTAAATCCATGTCTTAATTTTCTATTTTTGGCTTCTTGATTCCTTGTCAACTAATATAATGAACAAATGCAAGTTGCAATAGTTAATAAATTAATCTAGAAATGATCAAGTTCAATATGACAAAGCTAAGCTATATATAATTGTCGATATTGAGTATATGTTTTGTATTTTCTACTCTAGTTTGGAATAAAGGAGGCATCATTTGTCGCCAAAAACGTAAGATAGAATTCGACACATTCTCATTATAAGAGATTACTTTAAGATGAGGCACGCTAGAAGGGTCATGACACATTGAATTACGTTGTTAAGAGTACGGTAGAACTGGTAAAGATGTACGGAGAAGTTTATAGAGAGGTGGAAGAGAGCATAAGCAAAAAAGAAGGGCTTGGATCGACATAATTATTGGTGGCCGATGTTATAGGAGAGTGCAAGGGGCATGTATGAGAGAATTGTTTGGTTCTAAATATGGTGGAACCAAGAAATTAACCTAAGGATAACAAAAATTGTTGAAGGAAATGCTCAAGAAAAAAAGACACTTTTAGGGGAAAAGATTGTCCCACAATCATACCGTTGGAGGGAGCACACACTCCAGCTAACATCACCACATGCTAAGGCCGAAACCTTAGGGAAAAGTTTATGAGACTAACATGAAAATGTGCAAAAGCATAATTTTATGCAATGACTTCAATAAAGTGTCTTAATTTCTGATTCTAATAATGTTGATTGCACATTCCGTACAAGTCATGCAATATAATAGCTAAAAAATTGCTGATGATTATTTGATAAACTAAAGGCAAGATAATGTTCGTGATACAATCAAGACTATTTTTTGGCTAATTTACTAATCTCGAGTTCTCTATGATGATCTAAAAAATAGTCTTGATTGTTCAATATACATAGTACAGCCGATTATACAATAGAAAATCACTTACAGGTACTCAAAAGAGAGAATAACAACGATCAAATATCTTAATGAACTTCTGTGAATGTACCATTAAAAAAGATCAGTAGAGTAGATATGTAGTCCTAAAGAAATAAGAAATACAAAAATATGAAGGATGAGTGAGTAGTAGATCTAACTCAAGCTCCCACAACAATTTAATCAAACAAATTTATGTGGCAAGTCACTCCATGTACACAACAGATGCATCTAACTTCACCCCAGTAATGGCAGGGTGTGTTTCTATACAAGAATTTCAGTTATTCGCATCTACAACAGCATATCATGCTCCCTCCAGCACCATCTTCTCCTGCTCCAACATATTCCTCAGTTTTTATAACTCAAAATTGTCCGCCCCAATATATATATGTACGTTAACGCAACAACCATAAACCCCCAGAGAGAAGGCGGCCAAAACAAAGCCATTCATGTAAGCGTGGCACTGTAAGATGTGCATCAAGATCCTTTTTTACCTGAATTTTGCTACAAATAGCCATCATAGAAGAATATGAATCTTCTCCAGGTATTATAGATCACATGCTACTCAAGGATTCATCAGATTCGAGACACTCCTGAGGATTAGAGTAGAAATAGTCCTCCTCTTTCGGTTTGTCAGGTATTACCAACCTCTTAGTTGGTTGTCCACTGCGATGTGCATGAGTTTCCTTTACAGCAGTTGAGAACTCATCCCAACTAAGTGACCCAACAGTATACTTGTCTATCAGATCAACCAACAACCTTCTGTCCAACAAGATAGTCCTTTTGTACCCAAGGTACCTGAAATTGCATGAATCACCATATTTCAGATAATTGTGCAACTTGACCAGGGGCACATGAGCACAACTCATTCACGTCATACATTCAAACCCAAAACACTAAGATCCATGTAGATGAAATGGGAGCTTGCATAATATCATATTTTATTCCAACATAAAAAAGGGTAAAAAAAAATTGTATAAAATAAAAATAAATTCTAACAACACATAAGATGCACCAAACTTAAGTGGAAGCACATACCTGCGATGTCCCTCGACAACTTTTGCCATATTTCCATCATAAGTAGGAATGAAGATATCACTCTCCAATGACACAAGATAATCTAGTGCAGCCATCTGAGATGAGTGATTTTGAAAAAATCTCAAGTCTGCGGGATTCAATAATGTCTCTTTCCTAACCTGTTGTGTTAAATATGAAAGGAGCATGAGAGGTTATGAAATAAGTCATAACTAAGTGCCACAAAGACAGACTAAGATGGCTGCAATAAACTAACCAGCTTTGGATAAGATTCAGCAAGACTAGCCATCCTCCTCTCACCACCATATATTTCACCAGCTGCAATATATATCTGATAGCTAGGATCAATGTCCAAAGCTCGCAGTGCCAAAGTAGTTTCCTCTGGCGTCAATGGACAGAGTCCATCTTTCCTTTTCAAATCAGAATTTATGATCTTCTCTTTCCACCATGGGTAAGCATATCTATCAATGCAAATTAAAAAAACAGGTTCACAAAGAAGAAAAGAAAGATAAAATCAACATCCGGTTCTAGATTTGACAAGGGTTCCCAAGTACCTCATTCTGGTCAATTCATCCACCTCCTCAGTATTGCAACCCTGGGTGCAGCCAGAAAAGGCTAACATGTCCATTTCATATCGCAGATGAAGAACAAGGAACGGACCATTTTGACGTAGCAGCTTGACCACCCTTTTCCCAAGCTCCTCAATCTGAGGAGTAAATCTCAGACCACTGAAATTAACCCGGCATCTAAGCTTTTGAATTTCTATCGGTTGACCATTATTGGCGAGCCGGGCATCTGTTCTGTTTAAATGCAAAATCTTGTACTTTTGTATCAAAGGAAGTATCTGCAGTAACCAACGATAAGCAGAATGTCAGATGCAGAGCACAAGAGACAATGTACAGAAACCAGCAAGCTAGAACATTGAACTAACCTGATTGTTGTAATAAGATATATCAGACCAACTAACAGGAGCCATGGTATGAACTTTTCCCAGCTCTAGTCTTTTCTTGAGCCTAGGGGGAAGCTCCTTCAGAATCCTAACTTCATCTCTCAATGATGAAATAAAATGATCCACATCAAATATGTCTTGAAACTCACTGCCATGTAAATAAGTTAAATTAGGCCAACTTCATATGGAGTGTATGATAAAATATAATAACCTTGTCATTCCTGAAAACAAGTACACAATGTTCACAGACTAATTCTACATAGCATTACAAGAGAGATAACAGTAACATGCCTCGGATCAGCCCAGAAGGATGTTTTATCCAGCTCGGGAACAATAAGAGTGACATTAAGGTATCTTGCGATGGCTACCATGTCACATATCTGCAGAAAGCACGATTGATTAGGTTGAGTTCAGCTATTACAGTACCTCGCGAGGGATGCAAAGGATGCACGGAATATAATCAAAACCAATTATAGGTGCATCAACTGAAAACACAGCTAAATACTCACTGCTGATCTCATTTGATTAAGTCCTCCATTACACGAAACCATCAGGTAACCATTGTTCTTATAAACTCCTGGAAACAACATAGCACTAATCATATTAATTAACTGATTAAGAAACAGAGAGAGCACATTTAGTCTAATAAAAAAGGAGCAAAACCACTGTTTCAATCATAGAAGCAAAGGGTACCCCCACAATAAAGATAGCAACATGGATGCCAGAAATAGCAAGGACATAGTACCTATATAGATAAATTCTTGAAAGAAATAATTCAATTTAGGAGAAAATAGAACATCTGAAAGAAACAGTGTCCTTACAATAATTCTATATTTCCAATTAAAACTTGTGAATGTTCATCAACATAGAAAATCCACCAGACTCAGCTGATAATGAAAGGCATCATCATATATGTTATGACTACATCACATTTCAACATGGAAATAAGACTAAACCCAAAATACAGAATATGTGGCATCAAACAATTTTCCGTAGTTGGCTAATTCAAAAGGTGTGACACATACACACTTTCAAGTCATCAAATTAAGCATCAAATCGAGCTCGAACAATCACCAACAACCACTACAATCTATATATGATTAACTTGCACAAAAAAGTTGATAGAAATCATACAATTACACAATTTGTTTGAAGCAATAAAGATAGATGGAAATGGGTAGCTAGAAAAACTCACTTTTGGGAGGGCGAGGTGGGACTGAAACAGAAGATGGCAACTTAAGATAAGCAGATTCCTGAGTAAAACAAGAGGGCCAACCCTTCAAGACTCTAGGCCCCCAAACCTCCCCAAAAGTAGTCAAATTGACAATACAAGTCCATAACAAAACTGATGATGTAGCTCTAACCATCCATACCTTCATCTTCGACCTCGAACCGCCATTTGAGGCCGAAGAACTCTTGGATTTCTCCTTCTTCTCATCACTAACTAGAATTTTAACCCCCATACCAATCCCAATCCCCCACCACCTTCTTCTCCTGCTTTCTCTCTCCTCACTACCACTACTCCTCTCAACCTTACACATATTCCTCCTCCTTTCCTCTCATCCCAACCTCACAACACCCAATGCAACCAACAATTCCCTAAAATTACCTTCAATTTTCCTAATCAATGTTGCATAATACAATTGCAATCACTTTGCCCAAATTTAATCAATCTATAATACCAAAGATCCGAGTAAAAAAAAAAACCCAATATCAAAAAAATTCAACCAACCCCAGAAAAATAACCCACCAAATCAAAATCCAAAAATTACCCAGAACAAACCTATACCCAAATAATAAAGATCCAAAACACCCAGAATTTCAAAATTGCAGGAGAAATTATAAACACATTATCAATAACCGGGGAAACCCCAACAAAATCAGAGATCTTGGAACCCTAAAAAAGAAAAAAACGAAGACCCAAATTGGATCTTCGAAAATGCAGACGACCGGATCCGAGATAAAAGGAAAAGAGGGTAAGAATCAACGATGGTGGCGGGTGTCGGTGGCAGAAAAATGCAGGAGGAAGAAGATGAGGAGAGAGAAAATGGGGTACAAAAAAAATGGTTAGAAAGATGGAAAATGATGATGAAGGAAGAAAGAAGAAGAATGTGAAAGAAGAGAAGGAGAGAAAAATGAGGGGAGAAAGAGAGAGTAGAGTTTCTCCTCAAAATTTGGTTGATTTTGATTTTCTCTCTCCTCCTGAAGCGCGGTGGAATTTCACGAGCCGACATTCGGTGTCAAAAATTTCTCATTTTTTCACCATCAAATTTTAGATTGATTTCTACAAATTATTATGATTATTAATAGAGTTTACTTTTGAGGGGGAATTTTTTTGGCACTTGTTGTTGGTAATCGTGGATTTATGGGGATATTTGGCAATTGTGTTGTACACGGAGTATCAATTAGGGGAAGGGGTTATTTTTTTCGAATTTAACTGAATCTCGTTTATATTTGTTTATTTTTGCTAATAAGTTGGGTTGGAACTAGTTTAAAATTTCATTTTGTGTAATAGTATATGTTGTTAAACAACTAAATTATTTATGTACGTAAACAAACACGTTTATTATCTTTGTTAAGTGAAGATTTTGTTGGCACAAGTTTTTTTTTTTTTTGGCAAAAGAATAAAGGGTAGAATATTCAATACTAAAGGTTATGTACTCCTAAAGGCTATGTATACGGAATACCAATTAGGGAAGGAGGTTATTTTTTTCGAGTTTAACTAAATCTCGTTTATATTTGTTTATTTTTGCTAATGAGTTGGAATGGAACTAGTTTTAAATTTTCATTTCGTGTATCAGTATATGTTGTTAAACAACTAAATTATTTATTTTTGTAAACAAACACGATTATTTTCTTTGTTTAGTGAAGATCTTGTTGGTAAACGTTTTTTTCAGCAAAGAATAAAGGGTAGAATATGCAATAAATATAATCATTATCTGTAAACAAACTTTTAATATATTTTATAGCCCCCACCCCCCCCCCCAAAAAAAAAAAAAAAAAAGAGTAATTTAGAATAATTTCCATTGTAGTTGCCTACATTTGACCCTTGTCTAGTTAGGAAAGGCTTGATTATCATAATTGATGATTCAATTACCTTATGAGTGAGTAATGCTATATGCGGCTCTTAGGACAAAAAAGAAGCATTTAATAACTATCCTAATTTGGTATTAATTTAAGAATGTATAAAAAAAACGAGTAAATTAGTGTAATTAATGCTATATTTTCATTTGTTTTTTTCCTTCCATTTTTAGCTCCTTATATGTAACTCTAAAGCCTAAAGGCAATGTATAATATTTTCCTTCAATTTTTTCATAAGTTGGATATTTACACATTATGTGTATTATACATTTTTTTTACATGAGCTCAAAGCAAGAATTATATAAGAGTACGAAAGGAAGATAAACTATTGACTGCAGTAGTAGCCAGTAAATGTGCTTTATGCCTTATGCACCGTTTCACACTCCACCTTGTGAACACTGCACCAATCAAGATCGAATCCATGAAGAGATATAAGGTCATTACTACATGAAGAGATAAGCAAGGAATCCTGACCTAAGTTGACGAACCTTACATTAATATTTGCAAGGTCTACCCTTGCACCGTAGACCTTGCAAGCAAGTATTCAAATCATCTCGGCATGCAAATGCTGATTGAGACAACCCAAAGGAAGCTCCTCCCACAATTTCTAAGTGCCCCTGGATTATATTCTAACGGGTACCTTCCTAATCCTGACATGTGCATGTGTTTATTCCAAGAACCATCCACCAGTATGATAGTTGGGATGTGTTCAGAACCAGAATCTTGTAATATAACACACATGAACCCCAGAGGCCACTCAACAACCTATTCAGGCGAGTGTAAGGACCTCAAATTGTTCTCCGACCTTCGTGAAAACAAACCTTTTTGTCTAAGGCCTTCAGAAATAAATGCCGGTGTAGTAAGGTGTATCAGAAATAACTGCCGATGTAGTAAGGTGTATCGCTCCCGAGCGACCAAAGACCTTATTGTTCCTTGCCAACCACAACCCCCACAAGATTGCAATAAAAAAAGGCGGTCCTATGACCACTAAGGCCATCTTGGCTTAGAAATAGCCGAATATAATACGAAATCCAATCATCAAATGAATAGACTGTGTTAGCTTGTGAGTGGATTTGTAATATTCCACCTCTTTATGGTATGTTTGTTTCAACATAAAATGTCTTATTTTGTTTTATTTTCAGGGAAAAAAATTTAGATAACTTAATAAGTTTTAATACACGCAAATAAATTGAATCAAACCTAGCCTTAAAATAGCTCATATAAACTTGGATTTGAATTATTTGGGATCAAAACCTGCGAATAATATAAGGGCCTGTTCTCTTCGACGTATTTTTAATTCAGTTTAGCTCCAATCAGCTCAATTCAGTTCCTAATTTCCTTCTCTCATAAAATATTCAGTTCAGTTCATTTCAGTTCCAATCAATTAAGTTCAATTCAGCTCAACTCAGTAAATAAGAACAGGCCCTAAGTCACATTATGTAACCGAGTTTATTGCATGCCTTAACAAATCATCGACTTGTCATTATACCACATTCTTTTAAAACTCATTTTTTGTCTTTTAAATTTTTTATTAACATATGCACCAAATAAAAATCCTTGTAATTTGCTTTCCTCGAATTCTTTATAAGTGGTAATCTAATAAATTAAAAAAGATACAAAGCATAGACGACTAATGTGAAAATAACCAACAATTCTTTAGGTTAACCATGGGAGGAGTCTTTCATGAAAGGAAATTTTATTGAAAAATTGAAAATCGGCAAAACTATGAGCACACTAGTAGCTTAATCTAATATCATATCATATAATAACTAATATATAAAGCTAAACTTTTAGCCAGACGACGAGATACGACACTTGGCGTTCTAACTTTTCGCCAAATGTTGCGCCACATAGGATAGAGTTATATAGAATTCAATTTGTAGGATAAAAAAAGTTAATTTTAGAATTATATTTTCAATCAAATTTGGATAGAATTTTAGGATAAAATTGTTAATTTAGACTTTTATTTTCGATAAAATACCAATATTTCATATGTACAAATTTTATAATTTTATTAAAAAAAAAATTTAACACTCATACATTATCATATAAATTTATTTTTTGTATCATAGTATTTTTTTGGAGCGAAGGAATTAACTCAAAATGCACCACATCCATTATGTATAATATATTCTAATCAATTAAAACAATATACTTTACAATCTAATATAATTTTATTACTGTGTGTAGACCTGTCAATCGGGTCGGGTCACGAGTCATTTCAGACAAGGTAAAAAAAATAAAAAAAAATCACCAATATTATTATTTGTCATTACATTTCTACAAGTTTAAATCGTCACAAAAACACGTCAATTCCTAACTAATTTTGTATCAATGATATGTTTTAAATTTTGACATATAGATTAAAATATATCTTTAAATTTAATAAATAACCCGGGCATCGCACGGGCACAAAACTAGTAACTAATATATAAAGCTAAACTTTAAGCCAGGCGACGAGACAGCGACACTTAGCGTTCCAGCTTTTCGCCAAGTGTCGTGCCACGTAGGATAGAATTATATAGAATTCAATTTGTAGGATAAAAAAGGTAGTTTAGAAAAAAAAATTCAATCAAATTTGGATAGAAAATATAAAGCTAAACTTTTAGCCAGGCGAAAAGATAGTTTAGAATTTTATTTTCAATCAAATTTGGATAGAATTTTAGGATAAAATTGTTAATTTAGAGTTTTATTTTTGATAAAGTACCAATATTTCATATGTACAAATTGAATTATAATTTTATTAAAAAAAATAGATTATTACTGTCATAAATTATCATATAAATTTATTTTTTGTATCATAATATTTTTTGGAGCAAAGGAATTAGTTCAAAATGTATCACATCCATGGTTTATAATATATTCTAATAAATTAAAATAATATACTTCACAATCTAATATAATTTTATTACTGTGTGTAGACTTGTCAATCAGGTCGGGTCACGAGTCATTTCAGGCAAGGTCAAAAAAAAAATTCACCAATATTATTATTATTTGTCATTACATGTCTACAAGTTTAAATCGTCACAAAAACACGTCAATTCCTAACTAATTTTGTATCAATGATATGTTTTAAAATTTGACATATAGATTAAAATATATCTTTAAATTTAATAAACAATCCGGGCATCGCACGGGCACAAAACTAGTATATATATAAAGGGGAGTTTTTTCCCGAATTTTTAGAGAGCCACGTAGGATCTAATTTTCTCAGCGCGCCATGTAGGATTATAAATCTTAGTAGTAGCCAATTAAATAAGAGATTATTAATTTCTTTTAGAATTGAATAATTTAAATGCCATGTAAGCAAAATTGGCGAATGAGATTTTTAAGTTTAAATTAATTAAATATTACTTCCTCTGTTCTTTTTTACTTGACCCGCTTTGACTTTTACACTATTCACCACCTTTCCTTTGACCGTCTTTTGTGAATGATATGTAAGGAAAAATATATTCATATGATATCTTTTTAAATTCAGCTCAATAAGTACTATCGTAATATACAACTTTTATAGTTTTTACTTATGAAGAATTAAAGTTATTGATCGCTAAAGTTTTGCATTGGCAAGCGTGATTAAAGAAACAGGTCAAGTAAAAAAGAACAGAGGAAGTATATATTATCTTTTAATATTAGGAATTTTATCTAAATATATAACAAATTTTAGGCTCGTAAATACCAAAAAAAAAACATTATTTAAAAAAAATCAAACAAATCGTGCATCGCACGGGCTTCATCTAGTTATTGATTAAATTAGACTCAAAAGAAGTTGAGGTCTATTGAAAGTTAGGGCAAAACACAACTCAACTTGTCAATCTATATGGACTATACCCTTAGGGCCTGTTCTCTTTAGCTTATTTCCAGTTCAGCTCACCTCCAATAAGTTATGTTCACTTCTTATCTTAATTCTTAATTTTCTTCTCTCATAATATATTCAGTTTAGCTCAGCTCCGATAAGTTCAGTTTAGTTTAGTCAATCAGAACAAGCCCTTACTTGTAATTTCGATAACCTAGTTTGCAATTATGTGCATAAGTTTAGTTGAAAACATCTTTACCCAAAAATAAAAAAATTAAAAAAAAATAATACTCCGTTATAAGTATAGATATTTTCATTGACGAAAATAATAAGATTTGTGATAAAATTTAATTAATGGTTCAAATTCGAATTCAAAAAGAATAATAATTGCACAAGTTATATCACATTTTTCAATCATAAAATATTAACATATGTAGGCATAAAATTTACAGTAATTAAATAGTTACTCCACTAATTAATTTAAATGACCAGTTTATTTGCTGCATTAGAATGCTACTCCCTTCATTCCTTGTTTTTCCATTAAAGGCCTATTTTCTTAAACTAAATAGAACTAAAATCATTTTTTTTTTTAAAAAAGAAAAGTAAAAAAAACTATTTACATAAATAGTTTGAAATAAATTGAATTGAATTATGAAGTACCATAGCTCTTAGTCCTTTTACCCTTGTGAGTGAGGAGAGAATTGCGGTTTAAGTTCAACAAAGTTTATAAATATCAATTTAGCTTAACTAAATACTACTCCGTAGTATAAAATCCAGCTTTGCGGTTTAAGTTTGACAAAGTTCATAAATATCAATTTAGCTCAACCCAATACTAGTTTGAAATGGAGCATTACGGTTTAAATTTGACATAGTTAATAAATATCAATTTAGCTTAACCAAAATTTTAACCAAATACGTAGGGCATGTTCTCATTGATTGAACTGAACTAAACTGAACTGAATTATTAGAGCTGAATTAAAATGAATATTTTATAAGAGAAGGAAATTAAAAGCTGAAGTGAAATGAAAATAATCGTATGAAAACAGACCCTTAGTCTGAAACCGAGTATTTTGATTAAAAAAAATACAGTAATAATAATTGTAAAA